GGGGGACAAGGAAATCTAATGCACAGTAATATATTCCTGGTTTTGGTGCACGCAGATCAGTGGAATTGAAGGATCTTTATTGGCACATAGGGCTTATGAACAAAAGACAAAAAGGTAAAAATTCAGAGTCGCCTTTGGGATACCAAGCGAGAGCACTTTTCACCCCCACGGAGGGGCTCATTCACAACCCCCGCTTCAGTCGCCACATCTGGGCAAAACATTTCCCAGTCCGCGTCTCCATCCCAGCCTCTCTCGCGAGTCCCACAGAGCACGGCCTGCGAACATTTCTGCCCGGATGACCACAGTCCCAGCAAACTCCACATGTTGAAAACTAAAGTCATTATCTTTTCTCGAAGCGGGCCCCTCCCCAGGCGTTCCCCACCTCAGGGAATCGCGGGCGCCAGCGCAGTCACTCCAGCCAGACCCTCTGCACGCTCCGACCGTCCACGCAGCCGCCCGTCCTGCCCGTCCCGCCTTGCTAACCCTCCCACTCCCACCACTGCCGTCCCGATCCAGGCCGCTCCTCCTCGTCCTTCTTGGTCTCTAATTTGCCCCCTGGTCCTCGCTCAGGCCCCCCTTCACGCCAGACAGCCCCGCACACTCGGTATCCTTCGGAAACACAGAGCAGATCGCCATGCCCTTTGCATGACACCCTGGGCGGCGCTGCACCGCCCGCCAGTGGGACCTTAAACCGCTGGAGCCTTCACACTGCAGCTTCCACTCACCGCTCGGGCCCATGCCTCGCGAGTCTCCCCCAGCGCTGGATTCCAGCCGTGTGGAACACTGAGCCGCTCCCCCCTGTTACAGAGCTTTGCTCATTTCCTGGCCTTGGCACATATGGTTACCACCTTTCTCCTTTTTTCCCTTTCCCTCCTCCCCTCCTCCCCTCCTCCTCCTCTTCTTCCTCCTCCTCCTCTAACACGACCACCTTTCTCTTCTTAGCTTGTTACTGAAATATAAAATGCATGCAGAAAAGTGCACGCATGCCCTGTGTACAGCACAAGGAACTTTCTCAAACGAACACACCCATATAACCGGTGCCCAGATCAGGACCCTAAAAAGGCTCAGTATTCGAGAAGCCTCCCTCACACTCCTTTTCTCTACTCCCCAAGAGAAATCACTTTCCTGACTTCTAATGACATTGGCTAGTTTTTTTCACTTTTGTACTTTTTATAAATGAACACCTAGTCTGAGATGAAAACCCGGCATCAGGTACCTATTGCTGCGTAACAAACCACCAAAAACTAAATGGCCTAAAACAACCTCACAGTCCCACCGTGGACCTCATGGCTCCTCACGGCTGTGCTTTTTCTCCTCTTCGTCACCAGGCTCCTTGGAAACTGGGCCTGCACCCGCTGTCCCCAACTGTCCCTGAATCCTCTGCTTCCTTCACTCCCCAGTCTGCTGCGTTCATCTGGACCATCCCCCATTCTTTACTGAAACTGGTCTCAGCAAGGAGGCCCCGGCTACCTCCCTGTCATGGAGCCCAAGGAACATTTTTCAGTCTTTTCCTACTTGGCACCTCTTCCGCCCCTTAGTTCAGTAGGTCATCAAGTTCTAGTGACTTGCCCTCTTCAATTCATGGAGTATTTGTCCTGCTCTGTCTCTGCTCATTGTCTCTTGCCCTCTTCAATTCATGGAGTATTTGTCCTGCTCTGTCTCTGCTCATTGTCTCCTGCATGGACTATTCCAACAGCCTCAAGACGTCCCTCCCTGCCTGCCCCAAACTGTTCTTCCAGACTTATCCTGACATAGTTTTGGGGATTAAAAATCTGGACTGGCCCACCACCCACCACAGAATAAAACTCAACCATAGCATGGCATAAAGTCTTTTTAACCTGTTGCTCCAACCTCCCTCTCTAAACTCTTTGACTAATGCCTTTCCCCCAACCCCGTGCCTGGGTCACCTTCAATCTGCAGTCTTTTGTGAGCCTGCCCCTTGAATTTCTGCTAGGAGGTTCTCTCCTGCCTGGGATGCCATTGACCCCACTCTTTAACTGCAGATCTCCTCTTCCTTTTCATCCTGTCTCTAATACCACTTCCTCTATAAAAGTGCACAGTTTAATGGCTCTTTTTCTGATCTTGCTACCATTAATATTAATACTCAGAAATATCATTACTATAATATTCTGGGTTCATGCCTACTAGAACATAAGCTCCTCAGGACAAGATTTTTATTTTATAAATTCATGTATCCTAGGCTCCCAGAACTGTGCCTGGCACATAGTAGTAACTCAAAAAACACTTGCTAAGTGAATGAATGAGCCCTTAACATTTATTGAGCACTTACTTACTATGCCAGGCACTTTCATGCATTATCTTATTCCATCCCAAACACAAGCCCTGTGAGGAAAGAACTGTTTTTATCCCAATTTTGCATTGCAGGAAACCAAAGCTTGACAGGATGAAGTAATTTGCCCAAGGTCACACAGTCAACACATGGCAAAGCTAGGATTTCAGCCCTAATTGTCCAAGCTCGAAATAACCTCACTTGACTGTCTTTCAGCTTTGTCTGTCGTAGTGCTTTGCACATGACTCTACTGTGGGTCACAGTAGCTCTTCAGCAAATGAAACAGTTATCCCATAGTGGAAGTATCTCTTTATTTATCTCTGCACCACATTATGAGGTCCCCTGGGAATAGGAACTGAGTCCTAGTTATTGTATTCACCAACCCCCCCCCACCAGACCCCAAGCAGCCAGCACAGTGTCTTGCTCATGTTTGTGTTCACTAAATGTTTATTGAATGAAATAATGGGTGTGCTGTTAAGAGGCAGCATTTGGCAGTGCATCCTTTTTGCACTCTCAGTAATTTTAAGGACCGTTCTGGTGGTGGCCCTGAATCCAGCCCCAGCTGCTGCCTCTTCCAACCCTTTGCTTCTTCAGCACGATGTATGCTCAGGGCCACCCCTGGCTGATCCATCCTCCACCCTGACCCCGGCCCTTTGCTATCCTTCCTGTCCTCATGAAATTCCCCGGCCACTCTTCCTGCTCTTGGAGGCCGATCACGCAGAGGCAAGTTCTATCCCACCCTCTTCTCTTCTTAACCCTGCGCCCTGCTTGAACCCTGCCGCTTCCCTGGTCATCCTTGACAGGCAGGGCAACATGACATTTTTGTAGATAATGCTAACACAGAGTGGATTGTGATAAACAGAGACAGTCACGAGGCCCTGTAGGAGTTAGAAGAGGGAGACATTCCTAGTTAAATGATGGAGAAGCTGGAAATGAATTAAGTCATTGTCTTTTTCACCCTGATTTGTTTTTTTTTTTTAAATAAAGAGTTTAGCTTCTCTAAGGAAATTTCTCATAAGGTTACAGAGTCTTAGGAACTCAGAGGTTGGAACGCAGCCAGGCCTCAGGAAGAAATAGACGCAGAACCAGAAAATAGTTTGGAATGTGGGCAGCTTTTCCTTTCCATGTCTGGTCTTCATTGTCTCTGTACATTTACTGTCTTCCTGCCTCTGGGTGGATCTCTTCTAGTCCACCAACCTCATCATGGGACGTGGCTGCCAGTGCAACTGAGTTTATGTGTAAATGTTGACTGTAGACTGTTTATGTGTAGATGTTGACTGGCTGTCAAAATGTACACATCTCCAGGGAAATCTACCTGATTGGCCCAGAATGAGTCAGGTGCTCACCCTTGGTCCAATCATCTGCCGCCATTGAACAGGGACATGTTGTATAACATGGCTGCCAGGCGGCCGTCTCTGTGGAGAAGGAAGTAGAAAGGATCATTGTAAGTTGAGCAAACTCTAAAAATGTCCACTACCCTTGGTTCTGTTGTCTGATAATGTTCTTTTTTTTTTAGACAGAGTCTTGCTTTGTTTCCCAGGCTAGAGTGAGTGCCATGGCGTCAGCCTAGTTCACAGCAACCTCAAACTCCTGGGCTTAAGCAGTTCTGCTGCCTCAGCCTCCCGAGTAGCTGGGACTACAGGCATGCGCCACCATGCCCGGCTAAATTTTTCTATATATATTAGTTGGCCAATTAATTTCTTTCTATTTATAATAAAGACGGGGTCTTGCTCTTGCTCAGGCTGGTTTTGAACTCCTGACCTCGAGCAATCCTCCGGCCTCGGCCTCCCAGAGTGCTAGGATTACAGGCGTGAGCCACTGCGCCCGGCCTGATAATGTTCTTGTAAAAGAATTCTGGGTACTTCTTCAAGAATAAAGCAAATTAAGAGGCTTTGAAATTCTTTGAAATTCTTTTTCAGAAACAAATACATAAATATGGATTGCCAGTTAGCAACATCACCCTGATTAACTAAGATGATGTTCCATCAGTAATTTCCAACAGGGTTTTGATGCCAGCTTTGTTCAATGAAGGCCTAGAATCCTGGCTTCACCCAGCACTCACACACACCTGTGTGGTCTGCTAGGCTGCAGCAGGGGGACAGTTATGGGATAAACCCAGCAGGACCTTCCTCCCTCCTCCAGGTCTCACACGCATGATGTCCACACCTCCCCCTCAGCAGCTGTAGTTCTAGTCCCTTTCTAATAAGCCGGTGTAATCAGGACTGTGGAGATAGAATTCCTTCCCTTCAAGGATTCCATGCCCTGATGAATTTTGAGGGAGCTAACCATGGTCACATCTTCCTTAATTTGATTTGAGGTCAGGAGAGAGGAAATAAGGATAGATCCTTTTTTCACTTTGATTTGGCATTGTCCATTCAAGGATCCTTCAATTTAAGGCCAGGTAAGGATAATCTGAACAGTTTATCCCACTCAGAAATGGGAGAGCTGGATTCAGGTTGCCCAAGACAAATCCAAAATTTCACGTCTGTCCTTCTTGGACTGTGCCCTCTTGGCACTGCAACGCTCCCTGCAGCTGGCACAGAGGATTACACAGGGGACAGGCCTAAAGAATGGTTGTGCCAGCCCCAGGCTGCGGTGAGGTGATACCAGAGCCCTTGTCCTGGAGGATGGACCCGTGGCTCTTCTCCTCCTGAGGCATATGGTATTCTGCCCAAGCTTTTCAGTGACATCTCCTTGTCTTGTCTTCCAGGCTCCCTGGGTACAGCAGGCCGTGTGTGCAACCTGACTTCCCGGGGCATGGACAGCTGCGAAGTCATGTGCTGCGGGAGAGGCTATGACACCTCCCGTGTCACCCGGATGACCAAGTGCGAGTGTAAGTTCCACTGGTGCTGCGCTGTGCGCTGTCAGGACTGCCTGGAGGCCCTGGACGTGCACACGTGTAAGGCCCCCAAGAACGCTGACTGGGCGACCCCCACATGACCCCAGCAGAGGTCACCATCCACCTTCCCTCCTGCAAGGACTCCATTGGATCTGCAAGGACACTGGACCTTTGGGTTCTCTCTGGGGGGGTGTTTCCTAAGGCATATGGCCTTTGTCTCAACAGAAGTCCCCTTTTCCTCCCTGGGGCCCCAGCACTGGGGCCCACATGCTGCACATAAAGCGTACCTTATTCTATCTGTCTTCCGGCATTCTGGGGGACCTGTCTTCCTAGTGAGTTCTCTTTGGAAAGGGCATGACAGGCTGTTCCAGGGCAGGGTGGTGGGCCTAGACCACTGTTTCCATCTACTTAGACTTTTCCTCTTTCTAGAGCAATTGGCCAGGCAGAAAAAAGAGTGTCTCAAAGGAGATTTCTCTGTGTCTTCCAACAAATGCTCCCAGTTAAGAAAATCCATACTTCTCTTTGATGGGTAAAGAAAGCACCATCAACTGCCACTGAATTAACTTTAATTCTTGAGAAAAACAAGCAAGGCTTTTGTCTGATCAAGTGTTTTTATAGCCACCAGCCCCAGGGGTCATTGGTCATTGCCTATAGAAGGACTGCTTTCAATAAACTTCAGGTTTGAAATGCATATTTTCCAATAAATGCCCACAAATATGGCACTTATTGCCATATTGAAATCTGATGTAGCAAAGTGGGAATGTGTGTCCTTGGGTACCGTGGCATGCTCAAGCTTTGCAATAGCAAAAGCCTCAGAAAGCGACTCCTCTGCATGACCATCCCTTGATATAAAGAACCTTTTGGGGAAGGAGACTTCCTTCTCACTTAGGATCTGAAGGGAATTAAAAAGAAGATGGATTTCTAATTGTTGGGTGAATATGGCAGAAAATAATTTAGTGCGTGGAATATCAGAAAATGTGTCTGTACAGATAAAGAAAAAAAAAAGGAGAATAAAATTCCTATCTGGTATTTTGCATGTGACCCATGGCGTTTTGTAACTGAAATGACTTTGAGAATGAAAACTTGTGGGATGACAAGACCAGGGAACTAAAATGCTGACAGAGAGGTTTCCAGAGCTAAATCACGCCTGGGGCAGCCTTTACCGTCAGCAGATGCCTAAGAGAAGTCGGCCACGTGTGCTGGGGAGCAGCCGCCAGTGCCCATCACCCTTCGAATGCTCTTTAAAGACCTGTCATGTTTAATTGTATTTATTCAATGCTTACAAGATGACGTGATACTGTAGCCTAAAGCAAATGACACATAGCTTTGCTTATAAACTTGGTAATCCTCCCATATTATGTTGCAAACAAATCGTAACTTGGAGACTATATTTAAGGGACACAACTGTAATTATGGGAGCATCAGTATGCAAATGGTGGTTGGCTTCTGCCATTAGCCAGAAGACGACATTCAGGGAAAATGTTTAGGCTGCCTGCACCATTTTTTTTTTTTTATATATATTAAATGAAAGAAAGGTGAAATAGACAAAGCTACTTCTCATCGTCTTGAGCAATTTGGTTCTTGTTCTATACATGATTTTCTCACAGGGCTACATTAACTAACAGGATAGTTCATTATATGCATCTGGTGTTAAATTACTGATGCTCGCTCATTTTTTAACACATTGGCCTTCAGTGTCTCTGTTCTTGCTTTTTAGTAGGTCATTTGGACTGAGGTTCATGGAAAACAACCTGCTAGAGTACTTTGTCATGGTTGATATTTGCCTCCTAATCTTCTTAAAACTGACAGAATTTATCCCCTTTCCTTCACTCCCAAACCCCTAAATTAGTTGACTAACTTTTCCAAAGTGACTCTTTTCTCTTTTTCTTCTGTGGATTCAGAGGGTGGGAACAATGGGCATGACAGGGTCTGCTCTGAACTTAGTGTGGGGTTAGGCTGGGCACGTGGCAGCCACTCAGCCTTCAGTGACTTGGTGTGAACGCCGTCATGGGAGGACGAAGGCACTTTCATAGGGATCCCGAAGCCATCAGCTCTTCTTCCTGCTAGATGAACCGCAAAGTCATAAACCCATGGATATGTTTAGAATTGGAAAGGGTCTTAGAGAACATTTCAGCTCCCCTCAGTTTGGGGAAACTGAGACCAAGGGAGGCAAAGGGTCCCTACACATATCAGCCGTGTCCCAGATCTCCATCACAAATGGGGCCACACTCTGGGAGTGTTTGAGAAAGCTAAGCACTTTATCCATTAAACGAAACTAGTTTCTCTCAGGATTAATTCAGTGGATTCCAAATAATTCTAGCTCCAATGGGATGTTCATTGTTTTTGTATTCCTGTGATGTTTAGATCTGACTTTCTTTTTATGCTGAAATGCATCCCTCCTGATAAGTAGCAAGGGGACAAGGCATATCCCTGTAGAAACCTACATAAATTGTCCTCATGTATAAGAGAGACTATGGCAACCATGGCAGGTGGTAGTGAGTCTTGCCACTGAGGAGGGCAAAATGAAAGGGAGAAATATTTTTGTGTGTTTTTTCTTCTGAAAGAGAAAATTTGTATTCTATTATTTGGAAAAAAAAAAACTTAAAAAAAAAGAAGATAATTTCAAACTCAGTATACTTAGGGCTTGGTAGAGGATCAGTATTCTAGTTTTCTGAAATACACTAAACTCCTGATTACTTGAGGCTTTTAAGGAAATGTATGGCATGAATTACTCAAAACAAAATATTGGAAAATCCATTCAAGTCAAATCTCCTTACAAATTCCCCCTTAATAAAAAAAAATCTGATTATAAATTAAAGTTTTGTAGTTCCAAAATAATGCTCATTAATTTTCTTCAATATCCAAAAAAGGTCCTGCATTGGAAGATATAGACTAGTTCCCTGGAGTTTTCTACAATAAAGATATAATCTGCATGTAACTCTGAGACTTAGCCTATGAGTTGCTTTCGGCAACAGCTTTGCTTCCCTAAATCGGTCTGTGGTGCTGACTGGTGTTTGTCTGTATTCTCAGAGGCCGCTGTGGCAAGGTGCATTCTGGTCACAGCATCCTGCTTGCCCCCCTCCTGGTCTGAAAGAGTGAACACCCTGCCTTAAAAGACCAGTTTATCCCCTCAACTGGCTTCAGCTCAAGCACAAAAGCCCCAGCGCCATGACCACACTCAGCTCTGGCTCTGTGCCCCTTGGGGATGAGGGCTTTCCTTGGCATATTACTGGACTACAGATGCTTCAGGATGGAGGTGGGAGAGGCGCAGGGCACCCCAGAGCAGCAGCTATCTGCTCTTACTTAACTGGTGTCACCAGACTGAAACAGATATCTGAAAAAAATGATCCAGCACATGGCAGTTCAGTCTGGGTGGGGCCAGATGATGGGAGGGGACATGGGAGGGAAAGAGCTGGGTGGCTTTTGCCAGGTGACTGGCCGAGCTTGGTGATCACAGGCATGGCTTTTTCTGCTCTTGTTGGTAACGCCCACCCTTCTTCCTGCCATTGCTCTCTGTCCCCAACTCCCAGAATCTACTTCTTGGGGCATCGTGAGGCCCATGGGGCTCAGGGCCCCGGGCCATGGCTTGGATGGTCCATACCTGCTGTGTAGCTCTGTTCCAGGTGGCCAGTGTTCATTTCAAGAGGTGTTTTGAAATTGTCACAGCTATATTCCTTTTTATTAGAATTATTACAAAGTCCGAAAAAAAAAATTAGGTATTGCATTTCTTTTTTAAAGAAGGTAGCTTTAAAGTCAGAAAATCCAATTCTGGGCCATACTAATTTATGAAGGAACCTCACATTGACTTCACAAGACCTAAAGCAGAGCTGTCTCCAAAGGGGCCAACATGACCGTGCAGGCGCCCTGCTTGCCGGCTTTTTCAGGTCAGGATATTGTTATTACTTCTCAGTTATTAAAAGCTGGCCCAGGGCTGGTGTTGTCTCGCTCAGCTGAAAAACATTCATCTCCCTTCTCGCCAGCTCTCAAAATAAAGGCTCAGAGAGGTGTCCAGTGGACCAGAACCATTCTTTTGTGTCTCTTTACTGTACTTCAACCTGGGTTTCCTTATCTTAAGAGCAAGAGCTGTACTCAACAAATAGACCTTGCCAGTTCCAAAGCTGGTAAATAGCTTGTGTCAGGTCTGTGCTGAACTTCTGAAAAGCGATCTGCTGGTGTGAGTTGACAGCTAAGCCCTGCTGCTTTTGACCTTCTTCTTACCTAGGCAGAGAAAATTTTCACTCATCCATGAGAATGTTCTTTACATTTTTCTGGGGATCAGCAAGGTGACAGGTGGTTTGCAAAACCCAACATGATCGTTATTTTTCTAAATCATAGTTGTTCCAGCGCTAGCTTTTTTTTCCCCCCTGATATTCACATGGATTCCTGTGTAACCAAACCTCCCACTTCCACAAGCTAATAAAAGTGTCATGCAGATTGTTACAAAGAACTATTGTTATTTACAAGTCTACATTTTCTGTGAAATCAAAACATAATAAAGTGAATTTTCAGTGTTAACTTTGTTATTTTAAACTCATGATAGTCTTGCCAAATCCTCTGGTGAAAAGAAACCCCTGCAGGTTATGGGAACTATTCCCTTGTCTTTTCTCAGGACCACACTTAAAACAACTTGATCACGAGGCGTCTTCAAAGTTTGTAAAGATTTTCAGGGAAGGCAACTGACCTACCTTACTGATAACTATTCTTGAGAGTTGATGGATAAAAAATATGAAAAATAGAGAAATTATGCCAAATTTTCACCCTGTGTTTTCCTATGGGTCCCAGCTAAGTGTCTGTCCCCTCAGTGCTACCATGCTCTGGCAGTGTTTATAAACTAAGTGTCTCTACCAGCAGCTAACTCACTCCCGTCGATGTCACTGAATTATTGCTTTCTCTGTAAATGCTTACTCTGGGCTGGAATGGCATTTTCTCAGCTTGACAAGAAACATACAAGATCTCTTGCCTGGTTATTGAAATCTGGTTGTGTGGGCTACTTATATCAATTGGTAGAGGCTCAGAAAATGAAGTTCATTACAAATAAGTCAGAGAGAAAGAAAAGAAAGGAAAGAAAGAAAGAGAGAGAGAGAGAGAAAGAAAGAAAGAAAGAAAGAAAGAAAGAAAGAAAGAAAGAAAGAAAGAAAGAAAGAAAGAAAACAGAGAGAGAGGAATGAAGGAAGGAAGGAAGGAGAAAGAAAGAGGAAGGAAAGAAGGAAGGAGTAAGGATAGAAAAAACAAAGAATTGTAGTAGAGAAATTTTAAAAAAGAAAAATAATTCAAAAATAAAATAAAATGGGAAACCCAATCCCCCACATTTCTCTTCCCTGATGAGCTGTTTTGGGGTGACCTCACTAAGCAAAACACTGGTTCTGTGCTTCAAGCACCCCAACATGGTCTTGTAGTTGCTCACTGTCCTCTAGGATTCCATCATTCCTTCTAGAAACTTCCATACTTACTTGGATGATCTGAAAAGAAGTGGCGATTCAAGTGTCCGTGTATGTATGTGGTTTTTTGGGTTTTGGTTTTTGGTTTTGAGATGGGGGTCTTGCTATGTATGCAGGCTGACCTCAAACTCCTTGAGCTCAAGTGATCCTCCCACCTCAGTCTCCTGAGTGGCTGAGCTGGGACTACAGGTATGCACTACCATGTCCAGCTGTGTGTATTTTTCAAGGACATTTCCCCAAAATATTTTTGTCTGGAAATTGTCAATGAAATTTCCCTGTTATCTAACCCTTTGTGCACGAGGGCTTTCCTATACATTGTAATATGTTTAGAAGCAACTCCCCAAGCCCTGAGTTGTGACAACCAAAATGTCTCCAGACATTGCCAAATGTACCCCAGGGAGGGGGCAGAGGCAGAGAGTGAAATGGTTCCAGGTTGAGAACCGTTAGTCTAACATTTTGGGTTAAGTCCTCTCTTAAAATGCAAGCCACTTTGTGTTAGGAGCACCTCACTGGGAATATTAGTTTAATGGGATCGATTCTCAGTACTAGTGTGTCAGACTAGCTAGGAAGGGGTCTTTTGGTGGGGGGGAAACCCTTCAGCATCCTGGGGCGGAAGGAGAAAGGCTAAGGCTAGACTTGAAGCTCACATGGGTCTGCTCTGTGTGCCCCTGGGGTCTGGAAAGCCTGAGGCTCCTGGGTTTCTGAGGATAAGCAGTAAGCTTGAGGAGTCAAAGGAAAGACAGAAGGGTAAAAAAGGGAAACAATAATGTGGTTTTAGAAGCTGGAGGCAGAATTCTTCTTAGGAATTCCTCAGTTTCAAAACACTCAGGGGGGGGGACAAAAATACCCCCAAAACCCCAGATCCCCAAGATATGTACGGCCTGGAAGGTGGAGGAGTGAGAACATGATAGCTCTGCATCACATAGTGGAATGGTTTTGAGTTTCTCAAGACAGTCAGTGGGGAGGATAATGATAAAAAGGAGACACTGCAAAATAGAGGAAGTATGAGTGTCAAGTGAAGAGAAAGAATTTCGAGTTTAAGGCCAGGGTGGGTATCACTTGCAGGTTGTTCACTGAAACCCCCCTCCTGTCACTGCCAGCTGTCCCTTTCCCAGGTAAACCTGGCCTGGTGTAGGTGGTGGTGTCACCGAGTGGAGGAATCAAAAGTGCCGTCCCACATGTGCCAGCAAAGGGCGGGCGCGGGGCGGCCCAGGCTGGAGGTAAGAGGAGG